CCTATTCTATTGCTAAAGCAAAAAGATGGTAGTTGGCATTTTTGTCTTGACTATTGCGCCTTGAATGTCATTACGATTCGTGATCGGTTTCCTATTCCCGCTGTTGAAGAGTTGCATGATTCCAAATTCTTCGCTAAGCTAGATCTCTGTTCTGACTTTCATCAAATCAATTTACACACTAATTCCATCCCTAAATTGTCTTTTCGCACTTATAGTGGCCATTTTGAGTTCTTGGTGATGCTTTTCGGCTTTTCTAATGCTTCCTCCACTTTTCATGCCACTACGAATTCAATCTTCAAACCGTTCCTCCACAAATTCATCTAGTGGTCTTCAATGATATCTTGATATGCAACAATTCTTGGCCAGCTCATATCGATCATATCTTGCAATTATTCCAGCTACTCCGCTTAGAATCTCTGAAAATCAAGTTCTCAAAGTGTACTTTCACCATTACCCACATCCACTACGTTGGCCACATTATCACATTCCAAGGCGTCGAAGTCGAGCCCGATAAAATTTCTGCAATTACTTCTTAGCCAACACCACACTCAGTTCATGCCCTTTGCAGTTTTCTTAGCCTCACAAAGTACTACTGCGGCTTTGTCCAGGGTTACACCTCTTTCGCCACGCCTTTGACATCTCTCATTTGTAAAGACAATTTCGTTTGGACCCCATCACTACCAAAGCCTTTGAAGCTTTGAAACATGCATTGACAACCACGCTAGTGCTTGCCTTATTGGATTTTACAACCTTTTTCGCACCAACCAGAGAGATCCGATTGACCTCAGTGGAATCGGAAAGGATGTGGGTGTGATCACGGATAAGCAGCTATGGGTGAATGATAGATGCAATAAAATAAATAACAATGAGATTTTTAAAGTGGTTTGGCTGAGCCTACGTCCATTGTTCTTGTATTTGCTATGAGAGCTTACAATAAGAGTTCTATGAAAAATTTCTAACCCTTTTTCTCTTATTTGAGGGGATTTATATATGCAATATTTGTACAAACGAAAGAGCGAAAATAAAGGGATTACAATTGATTTAAACTGCAACTCCGATATTCTTGCAATTGGGTGCTATGATTGCGTAGAGATTATTGTTAATCTGATCATTCCTGTAATATCTGGGATCTAAAGTTATCTGGGAATCGATTGAATGATCATTCGGGGGTTTTCGCGACTAGCTTGTGTTGGGTCGAGCTATATATCGATGAGCTTATACTGGGTTGAACAACCAGTAGAATCGGACTAATTCTGGGTTGATCTAATACCTCACAACTTGCCAAAATTGATGGAAAAATCACACATAACATGACCAAACTTCATGGCGTTCCAAAAACTGTAGTCACAGATAGTGATCAAATTTTCCTGAGTCTCTTCTGGCGGTCCCTATTCCAAAAACAAGGTTCTAAGCTGCTATATAGCACCACTTACCATCCACAAGTCGATGGCCAAACAGAGATTATGAATCGTTGCTTGCAGCAATATCTTCGCTGCTTTACAATGGACACACCAAAGCTCTAGTTTTGTTACCTCCACCTCGCCGAATATTGGTACAACTCCAGCTTCTACTCAGCCGCAGGTATGACCCCATTTTAAGCATTATATGGCCACCCCCCTCCGTCAACTTCATATTACATCTCTGGCTTATCTCCCACCCTAGAAGCAAACCTCATTCTTCGGAACCACGAAATCATTTCCGCTTACGCCACAATTTACAGCTCACCCAAAAGTAGACGGTCTACCAGGCAAACAAACTCAGACACAATCGCTAGTTTCAAATAGCCGATTAGGTCCTCGTCAAGCTCTGCCTCACGCCAGACCTCAATGGCTACTCGCCTCCACTAGAAATTACCCCGACGGTATTTTGGTCCATTCAACTTTATTGAACGCATTGGATCTTTTGCCTACTGGCTTCAATTATCGGAATCCTCCAAGATCCACCCTGTTTTCCATGTCTCCCTACTAAAGCCATTTGTCGGCACACCTCCAATCGGTACTACTCCACCCTTGCTTAATATCATCGATCTACACCCTGAGGACAAGGTTCAACTGCAAGAGGTGGGGACTGATACAGACCACATTCCCTTACCCAGTCAGCCCATGGACCTGCAATCGCCTCCCCTTTTCCATCATGACAACGTGCAAGAGTTTATTTGCAAGAGAAGAGGAAGACCACCTACACACTTGAAGGATTACGTTCCTAAATAATAGGGCAACTAGTTTACGTGATGTTAGTGGCTATTTACTTGTATTTGAATATTTAAATGCCATATATCTCATTGTAATTTTATTAAACAGTAACATTTATCTTTCAAATGTCCCAACTCTCACTGTCGAAGGCCTTTCTCTTCCTCGAATTAGAGAGCCAACAAATTACCCCCCACCACCGCACTTGTTGCTACTGTGTGTCCACAACTCGCTGGTTGCAGCCTTTCAAGCCAGAAAACCGTTGCTCAACATAACCCTTTCTGGCGACAAAACACAATCCTTTTCCGCTAAAAAAAACACATAAATTGGACCACCAAATAACCATAATCCGACCTATCAAACAAGAATCAACACACAACAAGCAACAAGCAACAATCAAATCTAATGACCACCAAACAACATAAAAATGAATCAACTCTAGAGATTCAATTCGCTGCTGGTGGTAATCCCATGATTAGGGAAGGAATGAAAGAAAAAAAAAAAAAAGAGGAAAGAATGAGGGGGAGAAAGAAGAAAAAGAAAGGATTGTGAGAAATGAAAAAGGAAACGAGGAGGGAAAGAAAAAACTATCTTACCTTATTCATTTAACAAATCTTGGACGGTGTTAGGGTTTTGGGGGGTAGGTGATTAGTTTTTAAAATTCTGGGGGAAAGTTGATTGTTCCGCCAATTTTTAACAACTATATATGGTAGATAATAATAGAGAATAGAATATATTTACTGCACAAATAGACTATTAATCCTATGTTCTATTTTGACACCTTTTGAGCTGAGTGATCTTTCTTCATGTCTTTCTCTGGATTGTTTTTTTCTACATCTTCCAATTCTCCAACATCTACAGACCTGGATTCCTCAGATAGTGAAGAAGTACCAACTTCAGAATTGTGGTCAATAATCCCCGCTGTCATCGTATCCCGAAATGTAGTTGCAGACCAATTATAAAATTCATTAGTATATTAAAAGGTCAGTAAAAGAACCAAGTCAATGAGGGTTCTATAGGAGGATAAAACCAGTGGAAAAAAAGACAGATATATAAATCTACTTAGAGATTGAATCTAAAACAGAAAATTAATACACTTTAAAACATTAATTGGATATAAATATATAAAATTTGACCTCTGGACTCAAGCCATCTTCGTTAATCTGTTGCTCAGAAGGCTCCAAATTGACACCATCATCGTCAGTAGAATCAATTCTAAGGTAAACTGATCACTACAAGAAATATATTATATTGTGACAAAATTAATTTTGTCAAATGTTATTTTGTCATTAGTAATATAGGTATTATGACAAAATAATGAAATACCACATTAAGTATGACAAAGAGGATATATAGTGATTAAAAAAAATATTGTCATAATATTTTATCATAACAAAGAAACCCATACGAAATATAGCGAAGAAAAATATTTTTATCATAATATTTTATCACAAATTTTTGGTGCCAAAAGGTAAATTGTTTATTGTGACAATCGTATTTTGTCATAAAACATTTTAGTCATTATATTTAGTTATACATGCTATAACTACAAATTATTTTGTCACAAAAAAATTTATTTATTATTAAAAAAAAATTATCATAATATATGCTGAAATAGAGGTATTAATGACAAAATATTTGAGTCAAAATTTAAGCGCCGAAATAAATTGTTTATCGTGACAAATATATTTGTCATCAAAAACTTTAGTCACTATATTTAGTAATACATATTATAATCACAAACAAATTTATCATAAAAGAATTATTTATCATTACAAAAAAAAAAGGTCAATTGTAAATTTTAAAATCAAGGTATCAGTGACAAAATATTTGAGTCAAATTAAATATGATATTTTGTGACAAAAATTTGCTAAAAAAACATAATTAATATGCATACAACTATTTGTCAATCCTCTTGACACAAGAATAATTAAAAACAAGAATTAAGTAACAAAAATTGAATTAAAAATGATTTCGAGTCAAGGATTGCATTTAGAAGTACTCATCTCCAAACGATGATCTTTTTTAATTATACTATTTGGACCCATTACAAGTCTTCTAAATGTTGGCAGTTAAACTTGGGGTGTTACTTTAGAAATTATTTAACACAAGAATAATTACGAACAAGAATTAAGTAACAAAAATTGAATTAAAAATGATTTCGATTCAAGGATTGCATTTAGAAGTACTCATCTCCAAACGATGATCTTTTTCAGTAATGCTATTTGGGCCCATTACAAGTCTTTCTAAATATTGGCAATTAAAGTCGATGTGTGGCCTTTATGGGCCTGATAAAAACATAAGGGAATTTCGATATTTCATCTCTAGCAATCACATATATTGTGTTTAATGACGTTCGTCACATTAGGCACGTTCAATAATTATGTCATTAAGTATATGAATTGTGAAAAATTTAATTTTTATTTCAAAAATTTAAAATTATTTTCTTATCTAATCGTGTATAAATTATCTTATTGCAAGAAAACAATTTACTAGAATAATTTATTTTTCAAAAATTTCCCAAATTATAAATATTTTTCAAAAGAATTATTAATGACATCCTAGAACATCCTTAATTTTATTTGTCACCAATTCTTTAAAAAAAAAATTCAAAATAACCTTTAAATGGTTTTTTTTTTTTTTTTAAGTGAATCAAAATTAAAAATTAATAGTAATTATTACTGTAAATAAACATTTTCATTTTTAATTAAAAACTTAAAACATAAAATAAAATAAAATAAAATAAAGCCAATCGCTTTCGTGCACCTTTAGATTTCTTAGGGTCCACTTAAGAGTTTCATCGTAACGGTTATGAGCGTAAACCACCGTAGCAATTTTGAGGGTAAACCACCATAGCTGTTTTTAGTTGCGGTTTTTAAAATACCTAACCTGTGCTTGAGAGTTTATTTTCAAACAGTTCTGACAGTTTTTTAAAATGATAAATTTACATATATACCCATAAATTTTATACCAACTTCAACCAGTACTTGAAAGTTTTGTTTTTTCAATTACAAGATATGAGTTCTTTATTTGTTTTCTACTTATTAGCATTTTATAACTTCAAATGTGATAAAGTCTCCTTATTCTTCTTCGTCATTCTTTGCAGCATCTAGAATGATTGAAAAATTGTAGCTCTATTTTTTCAAGAAAGCATCTAGAAATGAGATTTTAATATATAATTTTTATGATTGTTTAAAATTATTTTATATTTAATATATTTGAAGACGCGTATAATATAGTTAATTTTTTTTGATATAATAAGGTATTTGTGAAATAAAATTTTAAAACCAATCAAAATATTCAAATTTAGAGTATTTTATAAATCTCTCAAAAAAAACACTATATAGAGTTTTTTTAACCTATTAAAACCAATGTATAAAAAAAAATTATATATGAGAAGTAATAGATTTAGAATACCTGTGAACGAATCTAATTAAAAACCCCTCGAAACCGGAGAAAGAAAAAAAAAAATCCCTCCGAATCAGACCCTTGGAAAGCGAGGAAGAGAAGAAGGGTTTTTGTTGAGGAACCTTCCCATTTCCCCTTTAACCTTTCTTTTTTCCGCATCCCTCTCAATTTTCCCCATTTTCTTTCTTTATTCCTTTTGCTCTAATTTTGATCTCGTCCTCGTGGCCACCACCGGAAACAAAAACATCAATGCCAGATTGGTTAGCTTTTCATAATTTTGACTTGTTTCATTTCTTTATTTTGGTTGATTCTTAGATGGGTCAGGGTCAATTGTTTGGCATTTTGTTTTGATGATTTTTTTGTGGTTTTTTAGGCGAACTTTGATGTGGGTTTATTATAATTTTTCAGAATTATGATCGGAATTCTGCATGTTCTGATGTGGGTTTACTTTGTAAATTGGTATCAATTGTTTGTGCTTAATTTTGATGGAAAATTCTGATGTGGGTTTGCTTTGAAATTTAATTTTGATTCAGCAAAATTCATATAACAATTATGTTTATTCATTAATTGCTAATCATAAAGTTTATTTTATCATTTATCTTTTTAGTTTGTTTATGGTGATGTGTTGTTATGAGTTTTCATGTTTAATTAAATGTTTGATTAACATGATGGCTACTAATATTGAATGGATTTTAGGGCAAGTTACATTTTGGCTCTGTTTCATTTGCAAAATAATTCATGTGGGTTTGCTTCGAAAAGTAGTATTGCTTCCTTGTGCTGAATTATGATGTAACATTGTGATGTGGTCTTGATTTGGAATTGTGTTTCATTCATTAGTTGCTGGTGCTAGTGTTGTTTAGAACTTTGATGTTTAATTGTATGTTTTACCATGTTTTGATGTATTCTTTGTATTTATTTTTCTGAAATTTGGTTTTGATTGATGTTTGTTTGTGCTTTATGCTTTAGGTGTTGCTTGGAGATGTTGGAGCTGGAAAGTTTAGTCTTGTGTTGCGCTTTGTTAAAGAGCAATTTGTTGAATTTAAGGTATTTTGGATGACTTATAATTGCTAGTGAACCTTCCCCTTTTGGTTTCAAGAGTTTGATTTTTTTATATAATTTTTGTAGGAATCGACTATAGGTGCTGCCTTTTTCTCACAAACATTGGCTGTACATGATGCCACGGTAAAGTTTGAGATTTGGGATACAACAGATCAAGAGAGGTACCATAGCTTGGCACCAATGTACTACAAAGGAGCTTCTGCCGCCATTATTGTCTATGATATAACAAATCAGGCAAGAGTCTACCAATGAATTTATTTCCCATTAAGATATGGAATCTTTGAACTCCTCATTGTTAAAAATTTAAGGTGTAAGACCTATAGAAAAGAGCTTTGTAATCCTTGAGACTTGAGGAGTTGAGTCTCGGGGATTAAGCCTCTTATCTCCCGTCTAACTTGGTTAAAAGGAACTAGATATGAGAGATGAAATACAGAGCTATGTACCTCTATTTTATGATTCAAGGTGGTGATCCTACTGGTACTAGAAAAGGAGGTGAATTTATATGGGGAAAGCCCTTCAAAGATGAAGTGAACTCCAAGTTGCTTCACTCTGGAAGGGGTGTTGTTAGTATGGAAAACAGTGGTCCGCACACAAATGGTTCCCAGTTCATTTTGTATAAATCTGCAAATCATTTAAACTTCAAACATACAGTTTTTGGAGGAGTTGTTGACGGTTTGACTGCATTGGTAGTGATGGAGAAGGTTCCTGTTGATGACAATGATCGACCTACGGTGAGTTCTTTGTTTAGCATTAATCTCTCCAAAACTACATATATTTTAAACCTGTATCTAATTTTTACTGCTTTCTATTTTACAATTAAATGGTATTCCCTGATTAATGATAGATGTAGTGTGTATTTAGCATATGATCTTTTTGGGAAGCAAGACTTTCTGTTTATATTAGTCCTCTATGCCTTTTGAATTTTGGTGAATGTTGTGTTAGGAATCAGTATATTATTTGGTAACATATGTTATCTGGAAGGTTGAGCATCAAACTGGCTTCAACTTAACTCAAAAGCTGCATATCTAGAAATACAAAGTTCATGATTTATCAGAAGTTGCGTATCTAGAAATACAAAGTTCATGATTTATATGAAGATACTTTAGTATGTTCTGATCAAATTAGTTGTTGGACTCTGCCTTGATTATAAAATTAGTTGACTTAAATTAACTTATTCAATCCTGCCCTCATTATATGTTGTTTTCCTCTCATTTGTGTAGGAGGAGATTAAGATAACCAGCGTAACACTATTTGTCAATCCTTACTCAGAACCAAATGAAGAAAAGGAAGAGAAGGCCAAAGAAGAGGAAAATGCTGGGGATGAAGATAAAGTTCGTTTCGGGACTCTTGTAAATATCAGTTGCCTTTAGAAATCGTCATTATTGAGATGACAAAAAATATTTGTCACACCTATATTATTTTGACAATAAAAAATTTGTCATATAAAAATATTTATATTAAAAATTATTTGTCATGCTATTAAATATTTAAAAAAATTATTTCTGTCACTATATAATTTTTGACAAAAAAACATTGCCATATAAACAAACATGTGACAAAATAAATGTTGTCACAATAAAGTTAATGGCAAATAAATTTGTGTCACTGTTAAAATTATGAGAAAATAATTTAGTCATTACTCATAATTTTGACAAAATCAATTTTGTCATAGTATATTATTTTCTCATTATAAAGTTTCTCATTTGGTTTTTAAATGTAAATCAATTATGACAAAATATTAAAAATTGTCTTTTACTGTTATCAATAATTTATTATAATAAATTAGATTAAAGTGACAAATTACTATTGTCAGTTGTCACAATAAATAATTAGACTATGGTGACTAAACGTTTTTTTGTCACTATACACTTAAGAGTACGAGTTTAATGTGACCAATCTGATGACTAGTACAATTTCTCACATTAGTGAAATGGTCATAATTTTGATATTTATAGTAACCAATTATTTTGTTGTGAGAAGCTTAATTCTTGTAGTGGATGGAGGGGACTCAACATGGTCAATTTGGATCATGTCTTCACTCTCATTTGTTCTTGTGCTGATAGCCTGTGATATGTCAACTATATAACAAACTCAAAAAAAGAAAATGTATAGTAATGAGTTTTTGAATTAACCTCATCTGATTTGGATGATTTATTGGAATGCTTCTTGTTCTTGAATACTTTTGGCTTCTTAAGACCCACTTTTTGTCCTGTAGTTTTCATTGTTGAAACAACCGCTACAAATTTCTTCCGACCTCCTTCTGTTGCAGTCTTTATATCGGCACTAATCTCTTTCACAAACTTCTCCATAGCCACGAAATGTAGTTTAATTAATTTTTCATTCTTTTCTCCTTTATGTCAGACTAATACATTTTGTGCTTCTCTCATTTTGTGCAAAGTAGAACTAAATCATTGCCATTTTCTTCAATATTGTCACCTCTTATAACTTCACTCACCCAGTGAGACCCATCAAAGAAAGATTCATTTTTCTGGCACAGAAATAGAAAATTCCAATTTCAGGTTAGGTTGAAGAAGACTTGGTCAGAGTGTGAGTTCAAACTTGAGAAGGAATATGTGGTCATCAAGCTAGGCAATAGGATAAGACCCCATTGGAAAAATGAAATAGGTGAAAGATGAACAGAACTCAACTGTATGATTTTGATTTGAATAGTTTTTATTGAACATGTGAAGGAGGAGTACTGAACGATTAAAGCTAAGGCAAATTCCTAGCTTCTTCGCTCATAGACTTTGACTAGATCAAATAGCTGACTCAGACTCACCAAGCTCACCTTCTATGAGGCTCACCAAAGGAATCATAAAGCCTAGTCAACTAGAGTAGATGATTATGAATGGTCGTGGATATGATTTTCTCGTCAAAAAATGGATTATTTGTGAATTAGAATATGACCCAGGAAACAAACAGACATTATAGTATACAAGTTAAATAATTAAGAAAATAAAATTCACAACAAATAAACAACCAAATATCTTAGAAAATTTCTAATCCAACATTATGGATTCATGATGTTATGCCTGAAAAATGTAGGGCTGACTTAAGGTCCAATCAGCCTATAAAAGTCAGAGCATGGGTAAACCCGCAGCCTGCTTCTGTCAGAATAGTGGGCACGCGCCAAGCCAGCCAGGAGCTGTGGTGATCCCACGTGTCCAATCTCTACTCCAAATCGCGCAAATCACTATAGAAGGTGGGCAATGTAAAATAAAGAAGGATTTACATAGATAGTCCCACCAACTCACAGATTCAATGATGATTGCTTTAATCCATCCCATTATAAATTGAGAGCTCCTCACTCATTCAAGGGATTCGCACATTTTACTCCTGGTTAGCTATTTTCTCTGTAATCTAAAAGTTCTCTTTCTGATATCATCAATTGTAAGTCAGTCAGCTCATGCGACCTGACCTCTATCATTGATAATATAACAGTGGACGTAGGAGTTGCTTCCTTAGCATTCGAACCACTTTAAAACGCTTGTCTGTTTGCATTTATTCCCATTATCCTTTATATTCACGTGTGTCTTCTAGGCCAACTCAGCATTTCACACGTGCTTTTAGTTGGTGTAAAAATCACACATCAACAGTTTGGCGCTAGAAGGAGTACCTGATTTAGTGTTCATCCTTCATCAGGTACCCTCAGTTCCGCAAGGCGCTACAGGAGATATCCCATCAAGTTCACAACTTGATCCTGCCATTAGAAGTTACCTGGAGAGGTTTGACAGTACTCTCCAAATGGTCAACTGAAGGTTAGATCGTTTAGACTAGAGCATTCCATCCAAGTTAGCTGGGGCGATGCAACCGCCAAAAACGCCTGCAGGTCGCCCGAAAGCACGGCAAAGGGAAATAGCCCGTGCCACGAGCACTGCAGTGCATAGGCGAAAGGGTAAGCAAGTGGCAAAAAGAGGGTCTATGGGCTCTAAAGGGCCAACGAACACCGACCGCGTCCCAAGCAGAATACCAGTCTCGTTAAGACTCGATGAAAGGACGCAGCCCGAGCTATCCCATGCCACATCATAGGTACACCCCAGTAAAAGCTTTGGGCGGGGTGATTCTTACCACCACCAGCGAAATGATCCAGATCGTCATCGTGCGGGAGGTTCCCACACTTCGCAGGGCGGTTCTTACCACCACGAAGGTCGTGAAAATAACCTGCACCGTTCATCGCCATCACACGCCTCTAGCCAGGGTGTGTCGAGGGTGGTTGGGACCATCGGCTGAGGCGAAGAAGAACCTGACCTCCAGACCTTCCTCAACCATAATCGTGAGGGTCGAACTCGCATTGGTGAAAGTAATCCCCAAGTGGCTTCATTGCCACAAATTGAGGAACTGCAGCGAGCTCTAGACCAACTAAGAGCTCAGCAAAATGAGCAAAGGCAGGTCGCATCTGCGTCCCTTCTCTCTCGAAGTGCTAGCCGCCCCACTCCCATAGGGATTCAGGATGCCTGACATGCGGGCGTTCGATGGAAATGCTGATCCACAGGATCATCTATATGAATTCAACGACCTGATGGAGCTTCACCAAGTCTCGGATCTAGCAAAATGTCATTGTTTGGTAGTGACTTTGACCTCTCATGCCAAACGGTGGCTCAGGTCGCTCCCAGCGGGATCGGTCAGTTCGTGGCCTCAGATGAGTGCTACGTTCCTAAGGCATTTCCAAGCAAACCGAAAGTTTTCAATGCCTTTGAGCTACCTCAGCAATATAAGGCAAGAAAGGGATGAATCCCTCAAATCCTACATCGACCGCTTCCACAGGGAACTCAACAAGGTGGCTCATACTCCCGAAGAGTCTGTTCGGACTCTCATCATAGCGGGAGTTCGTCCACAAACCGACTTGTGGAAAGAATTACAGGCTGAGGATGATGTTTCCCTCACCGGATTCTATAACCTTGCGGAGAAATACCTCCGGATTGAGAATTCATTGGCGGCACTCCACCATCGCGACCCCGACGCTTCAGGCAGTACGTCTGGTCAGGGGGAAGGCAGAAGAGCTGATTGTGGAAGGGCCGCTGATGATCAGTGAAAAGGAAAGAAACCTCGCTACGAGCCAAAAAAGTCCTATACTCCAGTTCCTCGTTGCGATCGCGACAGAGACCAATATACGCCTCTGAATGCATCTATATCTGCTATTCTCGATAAATCCGAAGAAGCCAGCCTGCTCGGAGAGCCTGAGCCCATGAAAACTCCCACGACAGCCAGAAATAATAAAAAGTACTGTCGCTTCCATCGGGATAATGGGCATC